ATACGTAGCAAAAATGTGTAGTAGTCCATTATTCAATAATAGTAAGGGGGAGGTGACATAGTTGATGTAATTGCTCAGAAGTGGCTACAGAATTAAGAATGAAAGTTATAGATTACGTAATACTCAACATCACAGTGTTAGAAATTTGATAAGGCAAAAAATGTTATTGAGTGAGAAGAAAGTTGGTACTTGAGTGTCCGTTTAACAAGTGTGAATAGGGTGAGAAAATGTGCAAAAGGAACATGTTAGAGTGATAATAGTGAATTAATTAATAAAGTAAAAGCAAACTAATCACTAAGATAAAATTTTAAAAAATGGAAATTACAGAGAACAACTGATGAAGGGGTTATGACAATGGTAGAATAATAGACTGGACAATCTTTTAACTGATTAAAAATGCCCATTACAATTTTCAAAAGAATGGATACTGAACAAAGAATACTCTTTTCGATAAATTCATCATCAGGCTCTACAGTTATATATACATTATAGTGAATGAATGGATTAGTGTCATGAACAACATTAATGCTGTTTAAATAACACCGAATCAATAATAATATTAATAGAATACAGTTCAATAGCATCAACATAAAATAAACTGAATGTCAGAAGAATTAGGAAAGGTAATAGTACAAATTCATGAGTTTATAGTTTCTACTCAGCGCCAGGTCAGTAGTAGGGGCTAGCTGGACTTGTTTCTCTTGAACACAGAGCACTGGTTGTTTGAGGCGAATGGCAATAGCCTCTGCTGTTTGGAGCATGCGGTGCTTCGACGATTTTGGTAATTTGTTAGGCACCCGGTATGTTATAGAGAAGGATTCTTCCACGCTGAATGGCTTTGTGGCCGGTTTGCACCAGATGGTCTAATATCGAGCTGTTAATAGTTTTAACTACACCTTTACTTAGCCATAGTGGGATATGTTCTCGAGCACGAAAAATCAAGTTCCTAGAGCAACGGCCGATATAACTCACTCCACAAGCGCAGTTGAATTGATAAATACCATTTGAAGTGGTTAGTCTAGTCTAGGTACTTCATCTTTCAGTCGAGGTAGCACCATCGGTCGTGTAGTTCGCCAGCATTAAAGGGTCTTTGAACTGATTTTCTTAATTTCCTCGTAATTATCTCGCTTGGTGTATCGCCCATGAATTGTAGTTGTATATAAAGTGGCTTCTTGTTTACGGATAGTGGGTAGTCCCTTTCGGCTTTCTTTGTCATGTGTTTCTTGATAAATTTGTCGGGATAGCCATTTTCGACCAAAGTATCATATACAATGCTTAATTCATCTTCAATTACTTCTTCTGAGCATATAGCTCTAACTCTGTGGCCGAGGGTCTTCACTAAATTTCTTTTCTAATTGATAGGAACAAAGCTGTGAAAATGTGTAAATTGTCCTGTCCAGGTGTTTTTTCTATGCAAATTTCTTCTTTTTATGCTACTATCTGGTTTTCTTGTAAGGAGGACATCCAGTAAGGCAATTCTGTTTTGGGATTCCTTTTCTCACGTGAATTTCATATTCAGAATGTACTTCATTGAATTGAATCATTATTTGCGTTAATAATGTGTGTGTGCTTTGTACGACCATTTATGTCACCCCCTATTACTCAGTAACGGACTACTATACATTTTTGCTACGTATAAATACAACTCCACAGCCTCTGAAGATGATTTTGTCGATAAAGAAAATTTTCTTCTCTGAATTGTCTTTTATTTTCTTCATAACTCAATGGGTATTTTCGGTGATTTGAAATAAAGAGAGAATTTATATATGTGTAAAGGATAAAAAAAGTTAATTTCTCTCAATTTCACATCTTTTCTTCAGTTTATGTCAGTCAGTATTCGGTTTTTTATCCAACAATTTTACTCGTACTTGTTTTACTCAGAGAAAAAAGAGTCCAATGCATTTAGTGGAGTTCCGGTTGTGTGATTTGAAGATGGAAATAATGTAACAGTAAAGAATGAAGAAGTGTTCTCTACAGCTATGAACTTATAAATTTTAGATATGTGCTTCTCACAGAAACCATACACACATGGATGACTGTCAGTTCCGCGCATATTCTGTGACTGAAGTCTTCAATGAACTAAAGCGATTGCCTGTTATTGACTTCTGTTAAAATCTGACAGTCCAGTTTCGCTACTCATTTCACCAACCCTTCAGTTATTCCTAATAAATAGTTTGACTACCTCCCGATGTTAATTCGAGTCAACCAACGCATCAACTGGAGAGGAGAATGGTGAAAGAGAAAATGATTCAATGCAATGATGGACCAGAGAAGGAGACGCTGAGTTCAACTTACACGGCACTGGACGGAGAATCGAAGAAGAGTGTCAGGAAGGACAAAAGACAACCTGGCTACTGAAGCTGAGAAGGCAGCAGGCAAAAGGGACCTGAAGACACTATATCAGATAATCAAATCTCTATCCGGGAAGAGATCAACACAAGTAAAACCTATAAAAGACGGCCAAGGGAGCCCAATTACCAAGGAAGAAAGACAGAATACACAATGGGCGGACCACTTTAAAGGACTCTTCAACCGACCACAACCTACAACCCGTCCAGAAATACCAAAAACAGCGCGTACACATCTGCAAGTTGACACCAATCCTCCAACGAAAGCTGAAGTTTTGAATGCAGTCAGGCTTCTGAAAGCTGGAAAAGCAGCTGGACCAGATGGAATACCCCCGGAAGCACTGAAAGCGGACCCAGAGACGACAGAAGATATGCTGACTCCATTATCGCAAAAGGTCTGGAAGGAGGGAAAGGTGCCTACTGACTGGAGGAAAGGTTACCTGGTGAAACTACCAAAGAAGGGCAACTAAGGACTCTGCAAGAACTGGCGAGGAATCATGCTCCTGTCGACGCTGAGTAAAATCCTGAGTCGCATCATCCTGGAGAGAATCAAGGACGCACTGGATACAGAACTCCGACGAGAACAAGCTGGATTCAGGAAAGGCAAATCATGTTCTGACCAAATTGCAACTCTACGCATCATCATCGAACAAAGCATGGAATGGCAATCAAACCTCTACCTCAACTTCCTTCATAGACTTTGAGAAGGTCTTCAATAGCGCTGACCGCGAAGTAATTTGGAAACTACTCGAGTACTACAGCTGTACGACAACGGCACATGTCAAGTGATCCACAACGGAAAACTCAGCGAGGCGTTTGGAGTAAACACAGGAGTCACACAAGGGTGCTTATTATCACCAATGATATTCCTAATTGTGGTGGACTGGATTATGCATCAGATAGTGGGAAACGAGAAGACAGGGATATCCTGAACCGACGTGAAGAACCTAGAAGACCTGGATTTCGCGCGTGGATGATTTATGTTTGATGTCACACAAAATCGAAGACTTACAAGCGAAAACCGACAAACTGGTCGAAGAAGCGGCAAAGACAGGACTCCAGGTGAACATAGACAAGACGGAGGTTATGAAAATAACCAACCAACAACAACAACAGCGCCAATCACCATCAACGGGAGGGATTTGAAAGAGGTTACTTCATTCACTTATCTAGGGAGCATTATCTCAACTACAGGAGGAACGGACGGGGATGTCAAATCGAGAATCGGAAAGGCAAGAAACACATTCATCAACCTGAAACCAATCTGGAAATCTTCGTCACTTAGCATCAACAGCAATAAAAATTCGGATTTCCAATACAAACGTCAAGTCAGTCCATTGTTCTATACGGATGAGAAACTTGGTGGGTCACAAGGAATATTTCCAACAGCCTGTTGCAGACCTTTATCGACAGCTGTTTTCGTTCTATACTGACGATCAGATGGCCGGAAGGAATCACCAACAAGAAACTATGGGAACAAACACAACAAGAACCAATCGCTCAACAAATATGCAGGAGAAAGTGGAGATGGATTAGACATTCGCTGAGGAGGCCACTGGGTGACATCGCGCGTGAGACCATCGCTCGAGTGGAACCCGAAATGGAAGCGGCGAGTGAGACGTGCAAGGGTGACATGGAGGAGATCGTATGAAGAGGAGTTGAAACAGTATGGATTAACATGGATGCAAGTGAAAAGTACAGTAGAAGACAGAAGCAATAGGAGACGTGCAGTTGAAGCCCTATGTTCTACTAGGAACCCAAGGGAACAGTCATAATAATAATAACGCATCAACTATAAATAAAGTACCATATATCCGAAAATCCCTTGATCATTTGACGATAACTATGTCACACAGTTGTCCAGTCAGTGAGCATTTTTCAAATGGTTATCTAAACCGATTTACAAAACTTCCTTTAAGCCCAGATATTTAATATCTCGTAAGTTTCTGCCTACTATATCTAAATTTGCAGTTAATATTCGTTGTGCTTTAACTGTCTTCGAGTGTGTACTGGCTATTTTTCTTAAGACTGTAACTCCTCTTAATCTTCATGTAATTTTGAAACCCCGACGGATGCTGTTTTTAAAACAAAAAGAGTCACTGTAAAAGAAAGAGGCTGCGTCCATCGAATACTGAGGAATGAAAGATACGTAACTACAAAATTGAGTTTTCAAGAAAGACGAATGTAAAGAGAAATAGGAAACCACTACGACTTTGCTGCGAAGAGTGTAAGTTAGCATCTTTATTAATAAAATGGCGCAAGAATTTAAAACTGACAATGTCAAATACTCTTTTCAAAGATAAAATGAGTAATATTTTACGTTATAAATAAATAATATACTTTCCTATGTAGTGTATGACAAACTGAACACTAGCATATATATATATATATATATATATATATATAAGTAATCGTTAAAATGAAACCGTTTATCGATTTTCAACTTCAAGTAATACAATCTGTGCAATAACCGCTAATGAAACCAATGACGTATGTGTAAAATCCTTATCTTTATATATTCGAATTTTGTCACGTTAAAAGAAACTTGAGAAGTGAGAAAAAAATCATGGAGAACATAAAGAGATTAACAACGACTATGGACAACATACACTAACATCTATCATGCTTGTAAATTAAACATTGTCAACTTACGATTATTCAGTGAGCTTTAAAATTGACAAGAATGACTTATTAATGTACTTATCTAGTGCAATACATACATAGACACAACAACATCGTACAACAAAGTACTTCCAACAAACAAAAAGAAACGGAACCTATTTACTACTGTGGTGAAAGCTGTTTGCAAGCCAAAATTGTAGACAACAATTTACGTCAATGTTCACGTTCCGAATCGGGGTCATTAGAAAAGAAAACAATAACAAAGTGTAACCTTGAGTAACTCACCAATCAACCAGAGAAGACTTAAAGTGTGCAAATACGATTCGCAGATATATATATGGCTTAACTCTCTAAGAAACGGTCACAAGCAGTACAGAATAACCTTCAGCAAAAAAAAACCAACCAGAAGACGTTGCTTCTCCGCTGACAATAACGTACATAAAAATCAGTAAATATCTCTTGATTTTCTCAATAAACAATCTGTTGCCTGGCCCTTGTCTTTTTTTGTTACACTACAACTAACTATAATCAAAATACTGTGGTAACGAAACGATTGCTGATCTAAAATAGATTTCATATCTATATCAAATGAAAGCAGAAGAAGACTTCTAATTAAGTCTTTTAAATCAGTAACAAAAAGATACTTGTCGACAATTGGTTCTACCAGTTACTGAATACGATATGCCTACTAGCATTGGCTATTTGAATGAACAGTGTGTCCGATAATGAAGCAACAAGTGCTGTGTTCGAATCTTACTTTGATTGTCAACATTATCACAAAATACCATTTCATTTACACACTTCGCAATGCAAACAAAACAGCCCCGCAAACCAGGGAACTTATTCGTAAGTTTGTTGTCAGAAAATTCGTTAGGCATTTTAAATCAGAGGACACTGAGTTATAGTGGTGAATAAATCTTATCGTTTATCAAAATGAACACATCATGCACCCACTGGGGTTTGACCCGGGGACCTTCTGGTGTGTACTGATGAAGAGTCCAAAACTAGGGCGAAACAGCTGTCCAGTTGGTTTCAAATGATTCTCTAACCGATGTCAGCTCATGATGAAATCCTGTAACCAATCAGTCAACTTCCTACAAACCAATACTTGAAGTGATTTTTGTTCAGGCGGTTTTTGTTTTAATCCTACTGAGGAAATGAGCAATCAGTATTTCTGAAAATAAATGGTATTCACACGAAAAAGTATATTTCATTTGTTCAACACTACATCGAAGTATCTTTTTAAACAATATGTTTATGAAATGATAAAAGGAATACGTTCTACTTTCCGTTACTCTAAAAGCATAGATAATATACTTTGATTGGACACTAGTAACTAGTGTCACGCGTCTAGTCTTTTCTTTTGTGCAGACTGAATTCTATCAGTCATGTTTGCAATGTGGCCACCATTCTAGGTGGCTCGCCATCACGGTGTACATCGATTTGGTGATATTAGATGATTGAAGGCGATCGGCAGGAAGCCTTGGACCTAGGTTTCGTGCTAGTTGGCACTCGTCAGCAAGGCAAATCTACAAACTTGAAGGAACCCATGTACCTTCTAAGATTAGCCAGCAGATATTCCTTGCTGACGAGTGCCAGCTAGCACGAAACTTAGGTCCAAGGCTTCCTGCCGATTGCCTCTACCCATCTAATAGCATAGAAAACATTCATATTATATCAAACGTCTTACTCTGATGTGCATCAGAAGTTTACAGTGTAGAAGTCTTGACAAGCGGAAGACATATTATTAGTCAATGTCATGCATTGAAGCTTTAATTTTCCCTACAAAAACTTAAGCAAATCCGGAAAAAAAGGATGGTGCATTGATATCTGTGACCAAGAAATCTTACAACTGTAAATCACCTTTTCTCAAATAAATCAATTTCACTAAAGGCGGTACTCTCTCTATCTCTCTCCCTCAAAGTAGTTGATAGTTTCCTGATGGTGGTGTGGTTATTCCCTAAATAATGGAAAAAGCAGTACTCTGTCAGTTCAGCTCATATCACTAGGACATCAGGAGAATGAAAGCGGTTGCATGTAGCTGCGTTTTCTGACTACGGTTACACAGTTACTCGAAATAGACCACCCACACGTGTAGCAGGTAAGTAAACCTGCTAGGTTCCTAAGTAAAAGCGAAATTACAGTCTGACCCATCCTATTCATTGTTGATTTTTCTAGCCTATTCTAATAAATGGATCTTCTAGTGTTATTTGTCGTATTTTCGAAGTCACCAGAGATTTTCTTTTAATTGAGGAGGCCTTCATCACAGCTAAATTTAAGGAACTGAGAGTAGTATACTGTAGCTTCGGATTCATGGATAGATGTGTGACTGGCAATCAAATATAGTTTGCATTAAAAACTCTTAAGACAACAAAGTCCATTACATTATCCTCGGTGGAATCATCCAAAGGAACGGAATATTGCAATACTCTAGAAAGTACTGTGAAAGTAGGATAGGAAGGCATGGTGTAAGAAAACATTCAAAGCTTTTGTTTCGGTCAGAAAACAATGACGAACTCACTAACGGAAGACAGACTGTCTTCTGATGAATGTATATTTGTTGTTATCAGATGACTGGAGACGATCGACAGGAGGTTTTTTTGCATGCTCTTGGCTCTTGTCAGCAAAGTGTATCTGCGGACATGAAGGAACTCATATCCTCTCTGGAATTTGAGATGTTGTCATCTGGGCGAAAAATTCGTGAGAAGGACCAAAGACAAATACGATAGACTAAATGGAGAGAAACTCTGACAAATATCAGTTAGAGAGTTCATAAGGATTTGCGACTCATGAATTACCAAATCGAAATACGTTGGTGAAGCCACTGCGGAGAAAAAGGACTATCTATATAAAAAGTGCAAAGTAAACAGCTACTGTAATCAAGATATGTAGGTTTGAAAAAAACTTAGTGAGAATATAATGTGAAGAAACGATTGCAAAATAATTGAACGGATGGGCCGAAATCAACTGAGAAAATTACAGAAAATATAACAACCCAAAGAAAGATTTACTGCAATTCAAAAATAGAAAATAAGGTTGTTATCAGAATGGACAAGAAATATGCTAAGGATCAATATTTCCCATATAAACCGTGAACAGAATCACTCATCATCAACCCAGGTCAGAGGTTTTTTTCATTTCCAAGCGTTGGTTCTCAGGGATTAGATTGGTCTCAATCGAGATTCCTAGATGATATCAGTTAGAGAACCACTGAAAACCAGAGAGTACTGAATACCTATTTCGTCCTGATTTGGGTTTTCTAATTCTTATATAAATAGTGCATTGTTGATAATAAGGAAAACGACTTTTCAGTATAGAACTTGTCAGTCGTTGCACAAATGGCTTTAAATGTGTGCGTCGGTGGCACAGCGGTTAGGACTCTCGCCGACCATGCACATGGTCCGGGGTTCTTTCCCCTACCGACGCACACTCGATATCTATGGTCAGCCTGCGAAATTTGGGCTACCGATATCCATGCTGAAAATTCCATACTTGTTGCAAAAATACGGTGTGGCATCAAGCTGTAATCAAAAAATTTTAAAAAATTTATTCTCTGTCATCATCCTGCTTCTTCTTCTTCTTGAAGAAAAAATTCTCCCTCATCAGTCTGCTTTTTGTGTCCCTACAGCACAATATGCGAGCGATATTCAACTGACTAGATACAGCTTACCGTATTTCAGAGTTCTACAGTTATAACAACAATAGTATTCCTTATTCGTAACGCACAAGGTGCTTGAAATTCAAAGTCGAGGGCGATCATCACCTGAAGAAGTCTTTTAGTCTTATATAGAATCTGACATAATCACGATTTAGTGTGAAAACCTTCCTTCTAAAAAAATACCAACGATAAATTCAGTTAGGTGCATACCTGTTTCATTTGTTCCACTTCTAGCTTAGAATTCATAAGTTCCTCTTCTAAACATTTTACACGTCTGTTTGCATTGAATTCCTTCATTTCACGTCTGCATATTTGGATTTGAAGAAAAAGACGTAAAAACAGGAAAATCAGTGTGTGAGCATATATGACATTTTCAATAACCAATTTTTAAAAAGCCGCTTCCATGCGTTACTAATGGAACCACTTCACTTTTACAAATAATACAAATGCAAACAGGTAATTTTCAACCAACCAATATGCTATGCTTAAGCAAGCAATCTGATTCAACTCAATTCACTGAACCTATCCGAGTATATGAGTGGTAATCTTATAACCGAGTGAGCAAAATTACTAACGGTTATCATTTTCATTTCTGATTGTTTTTCCACCAAAAGTACTTAATCACTATATGTTATATCCTGATTTGCATATCTGTACCTTTTTTTGTGAGATATTTGTACACAAACAGCAGGAGTAAACTTTTTTCTCACTATACAAATACACAACTTCGAGGATTGTTTCTTCCTTCCAATTATTATTATTATTATTATTATTATTATTGATTATCATTCCCTTGAGTTCCGAATGGAACATAGGGCTTCAACAACACATCTCCACATTGTCCTATTTTCTGCCGTCCTCTTCAGCTTGGAGTACGGTTGCCCATAATCTTTTCATCTCTTCCTCACACGATCTCCTCCATGTCACCCTAGGACAACCCACTCGTCGCTTCCCATGGGGATCCCACTCGAGGACCTGGCGTGCGATGTCATTCAACGATCTCCTCAACGTACGCTCGATCCATCTCCATTTTCTCCTGCATATTTGTTGAGTGATCGCTTCTTGGTTGGTTTGTTCCCAGCCAGAGTTTCTTGTTGCTGATCCCTTCTTTCTGGACATTTGATCTTCAGTGTGTAGCGAAGGCAGGTGTTGATAAAAGTCTGCAACCTGTTGGAAGTGATTTACGTCACACGCTCGCCAAGTTTCTGACCCATATAGAAAAACTAACCGACTTGAGATTGGTGTTGAATAGAATCCGAATCTTTTTCCTTATTCTGGCTGACTGAATGCAGAAGATTTCCAGACTGGTTTCAGGTTGATGAAGGCGTATCTTGCCTTTCCGATTCTGGCCGGCTGGCTTTGACATCTTCATCCGTGCCATCCGCCATTAGATGAAACGATGCTTCCTAGATAAGTGAAGGAGGTAACCTCTGTTAAATCTCTCGTTAATGGTGATTGGTACCATTTGTTGTTGTTACGATTCGTTGGTTTTCTTTATCACCTCAGTCTTCAGTATGTTCATTTGGAGTCCTGTGTTCACTGCCGGCGTCTTCAGCCAGTTTGTTGGTTTTCGCCTGCCTGCAAGTCTTTGAGTTTGTGTGACGTTAGACATATATCATCCACTCGCCAGATCCAGATTTTCTAGAGTTTTCTTATCGCTGCTTCAACGTATTCTTGTCTCCTCGCTCCCCACAGTGTGACGCATAATTCAGTCCACCACAACTAAGAATATCATCAGTGATAATAGACAGCTCTGTTTTACTCCTTTATTAACTTCGAACGGCTCACTGAGTTTCCGGTTGTGGATCACCTGACACGTGACATTGTCAAATAGCCAGCTGTTGAATGAAGTTGATAAAGAGTTGAGGAACGCCGTAGTGTTCAATTAGTTTCCAAATTACTTACTTACTTCTCAATCAATTCTGTTAAAGCCCTTTTCGAAGTTTGTTAAGTTGAGGCAGGGGTTCGACTGCCATTCCTTCCAATACAACTAGAGGAATAATCTGATAGTGTAATATTCCAAAAGAAAGTGAAAAACTTTAAAAATGAAACTCTATTTCGATTGAGCGGATGATTTAAGTGTAAGAGTTAGAGGCTTAACGATTCTAACATTCAAATCCAAGATACGATAAACTCCATGCTTGTTTCATTAAGAAAATGCGCAGAGCATTGAGCGCATTGAAAAGAGAGTTCCAGTCAGAGGTTAGATCACTGAATTTCGGCCCAAGTGGATGAATATTCAACGAGCTTCATCTCGTAAGCCGAAAGTCCAGTGTCAGATCCTTGGCAGGGTCGTGGGTGCCCACTAAAAATTTGTCCCAAACTAGGAAGAAACATCTGCCTAATGCTCTCTCGTCTTCAATGATCTCTAAATTATGTTGGTTTGGGGAAGAAACATATACTGAAATTAATCCAAATTCCTACAAAAATCCATAATCGAAAAGAAATGTGTGTTTCATATTACGGAGGTTTAGCAACTTACAGATTCAAATACCTAAATTTCAGCAGTCAATCAGAAATTAGATAATATCACGTTACACATTTGTACAAACTAAGAGTAATTCACTATCCAGCTGCAAAAATGTACATAAAATATCAAAAACATTGCTTTCATTGAGTTATTAGAAGGAAAGCCAGCAATCAAAGCAAAACTCACTCCCTCTGTTCTTTCAGTTTCTTTATGGTATCCTCCAGTTTTGATTTATCTGCATATGCTGTATCCAATTTCATACGAATATCCTGAAAAATTTATCAGACTAAGAGTTACTGGTTGTTTTTTTAATAAATTTCGATAAGAACTGTCTAAACTATTTGGTTGGAATATGATGAAATTTTGGCGAATTCTGAAACTAACTTACATTATCAATCAGAAATAAATAGTGACAATCCCTCATTGACGTAGATTAGAAACGTGCACAATTTTTAACCCATTTATGTTATTGTAATTCTCTTTGGACTGATCACAGAGGTTAGTAAACACTAGTTATCAAATATATTTCGACTAGTCAACTTCCAGTTCCTGACATAATTCATTCACTATTCGGAGGTGTCATGGAATAATAGCATGTCTCTGTCCAGTCGACCACTCACTATTTCTAAGTGCTAACTCAATTAACTTACAAAGGGTCACAAATTCAACTTGAATACCACTTTAAGTGTGGTTTAAATACGGACCAGTATTCCTACAGCGGCACATAAAGTCAAGAACCTTCAGATGTTTACAGAAAGTGTGACTTACGGCTGTTAATTTGAATCACAGATGACCTAGCCTTTGATAAAGTGGTTAAATTTCCTACATCCTCTGAAAATGCTCCAGGTTAATGAATACTAGATGACATTTTTTCCAACCATTTTATCAGGACAAATCCAACTTCTACATCCACAAAATTAGCCACTACAGCTAACTATATGGTTCTGTATATCTAGTCAACAAATTTATGCAGACTAATTTTAGTGACCAACCTTGTATTATAAAATCACAAATGCATAGAAAACATTTTGTTTCAAGGTAATCAGAAGATTATATTAATCTTCGTTTAATCTTCGTTTCCTGAATATATTATTTTATAGACGTTCTGTGAAGCGAAAGGTTTCTTTTAAAAAGCGGTGAAGCTGGAAGTAGACTTTTTAAAATTTTCATATTTTTTTAGTCAAACTGGTGCCTATAACTGTCTAAATAAACTTATATAAAGGTATACATATCATGTATTTTGATGGCTACATTATGTTCCTGGATTCGAATTGTAATTGGAGAGTCCGCTTTGAACAACACAGAGTTCCTCACAATTGATGAAATTTATCTTGTAGATGGTGTTGATTTCGTCTTCTTTTGCTGATAAGTCTTCTGGTGATTAACATCATTCCACATTAGCAGCTATTAAAGAGTGCATCTAGAGGATATGGTTTTCAACTTATCAAACTACGATATATTACTTTATACCTACGTTGTTCAAAATCCTTTCATCTTCTAGCTGCGATGTCAATGTTTTTCTTTCATTTTCCCATTTGACACAGTCATCGTGGTAGTCTTTGCTTGTCCTGAGGTGAATGCTGTCTTTTGTAGTTATTAATGCTATTAAACCTTCCAAACTGATTCGCAACGTCTTTTGGTTTTCCAAGTAGAACGACTTTACTTGATTTATCGAACCAGAAAGCTCGTTACTTCTTTCTCTGAGTCTCCTTAAAAGGAATAAATTAATCAAATTTACTACCGGTTTACTCCAGTTTGACATAATATTTAAAGACTGGCACTAACAAAAGAGAGTTAACTGAGCCTTCTGATAGTTTCTGAAAAAATAAGCATACTACTAGTAGTATCTAACTTCTCCAAAGTCCTTCAGCCTGCAGGCATTCATGATGACTATTTTGTTAACATTTCCAGTATGTTGGTTATTTTCCATTTTGATTGGTCTTCAGCCTTATATTTAGCTTCTTATCTCTGTAGTAGACTGGATGCTGACACTCTAATCTTATTGCGCTTCAGTGACAAATCAGTGTCACTGTAACCTAATTTGACCTCTTTTTATTCCATTCAGTATTCAGACTTATAAGAAACTTAAAAATATATAATGCAAACCTGACCGCTAATAATCGATCAGACATGCTTACAAAGTACTGTTGATTCAGATGTAAGGCAATCGACTTCCTTTCATCGATGTGGGTACATAGTGAAAACACATAATATGGTAACTTCTCTTTGATATTTTTGATACTGACGTTATCAATGAATTTTAGTTCGTAATATTAACTAACATTTGATTTTTAGGTTGATTCCCATGAATTCCATGTGAATATAAACCTTCTGTCTTTGTTTCCGGTCGTCTACTGGTTTTACATTACCTTGTAGCTGTAAATAATTTTCCAAAATTATTGACCACAGCACTCATTACTGAACATTGGATACCGACCCTCAGTGTTTAAGTCGACTTGTTTAGCTGGAGGCTTCCGGTCAAGCATCCACGCCATTTGGTACTCCGTCGTGTCCCGTTCGAGCATGATCCCTAGCCAGCTAAGCAATCATCTGTCACTCCGATTTGGTCCCGAAATATAACTCGTAATTTGGACGATCAAATATTTTTTTGCTTTGCCTTTGGTCTACGCGGAACGAATACTATAGAAGTTGTGGGTATTAGATCTTGCGTTAGTATACTTCGTACCATCCGTGAACGTCAATACCGTCAGCCTCTTAAACCTCGTTCAAGAAAGCTCAGTAGTATCGGTAACATCGTAGCCCATAAAATCGCTCCATAAATGTGGTGAATAATTCCAAGGAAATCAAAACTGGAATATAGAACTGAATTAATATCCTATGCTGACCACACAATTACAATCAATTAACTTCAGAAATAGTTAAGATAAATGAAGCAAATTTTGAGGCTAACATCCCGAAATATAGAGTGGTGAGAATGATTTGTGAAGTAAATATACTTACTTACTGCTTGTATATAATTTTCATCTCAACAGAACGCTAATAGCACTCAACTTCTGACACTTTCAACCTAATTCATTTCGGTTTCGATAGCAAACGCTTCGATTTATCATTATAAGTTACTGAAAAACTAAAGTTTATTTTGGTGCGAACCTTAATTCATGTTCCTACAGAAAATTTTCTGAGTTATAAACAAGGACAAATTGTAGATCGCTGGATTAGGATTTCTGTAATTTTCTTCGAACTTTGGGTTTAAGTCAAATTTCGTTTGAATATTAACTGATCAGAGTTTCAAAAATTTCCGCGTAATGATAACAAACCTGAGCTTATCACGATAAACATCAAGACGTTCTTTATCATTCCGCTGGGTGTTGATACTTTTATCTTGAAAATTTTTTTCAGGCTCAGCTTGGATACATGCATCTGTCTTTAAAATATCACCTGACTTTTTAGTTGACGTTTGGCAAAGCAACTCAAAACTTAGACTGTCCAAAGTAGATCTCAATACACGATTATTAATTTCAGCATCAGAAGCTCTAGAATAAAATCTTTATATCTGTATTGCAAATCTAACTTTTGCTGACACTGTGCAAGTTGTTCCCTAAGATCTTCATTTCTTTTCAATTCGGACAGCAGTTTACACTCCGCAAGCTTGCGATTCTCCATTTCAGAATCAGCTCTTGACTTCAGAATCATTATCAGTTCAGACTGTTTGTGCAACCTTGACTTCAACTCTGCAACGTCTAGAGTCATTTTTGTTTCTGTAGCAATCTATAGAGAGGAGCAACCTTAAGATTTGTAGTAGAAAAACAAATATAAAGTGTCTATCATCCAACAGAAACCAGGATAATTTATTCATCTCAGTTTCCAATATCCAATATCCTGATTACGAGCTAGTATAAACCAGTGATTTCTTTGAGCTCGCTTCTTGATTTTAAGGTAGAGGTTCCAGATCTTCGGTGAACTTATGCGTAGTAAATCCCGCCACTCGACTGCTTTAGCTCTGGTAGACTCCAGGAGGAGTGATGCGAGGATTGGTCAAGATTGTGGTTTGTAGTGTGCAGTATGTTAGGACTCAGCTGCTGCCGTGAATGGAGTTTGACCTAACACCCGTTGGTCATTCGGTATAGTCATAAAAGTAGAGTAATAATAATAATAATGATAATGATAATAATAGGTTGTAGTGTAGATAATATAGGTTGAGATAAGTGAAATAATAAAGAAAGAAAGAAAAGATAGAGTAGTCGGTACAGTGGGAGAAGACAGGACGGGTCGTGGGGATTTAGCTTGTATGCTTATCCATTGACAATGTGGTTTCAAATTTTAAGAGGGTAAGCCATTGAGACACAAACCATGCATTTCTGCATGATTGTCCAGCTTCCGCTTAAAAATCTCCACAGATGGAGCTGTAGTTACGGCCGCCGGTAAAGCGTTCCAGAGACGGCAAACTCGAAGCGAGAAGAAATGTGAACGCACTCGAGTCCTTGGTCTCTGGTGTGCTATCCTTAGCGGGTTACCTCGTGGAAGCCTATAATCACTTAATGGCAGGATGCTCTTATCAGGATGGGCCTGGTCATTTAGGATCTTATAGACGGTGATGAGGTCTCCCCTGTGACTACGGTAACTAAGTGTGAAAAGACTTAATTTCTTCAGTCTCTCCTCATATGATTTGTTGCGGAGGCCGATCACCCATTTTGTCGCTCGTCTCTGGACACTTTCTAGCATGTTAGCATCCCTTTTGAGTAGCGGAGGAGCAATGATATTATGCACCTCAAGGAGTGGCCTCACGTATGTCGTATACAACGTTAGGAATAGTTCAGGAGTAAGAGCTCCCAGTTGCCTATGCATAAAGTGTAAAGTGCCGTAAGCTTTGGCGACGTCCCTCGTGTAATTTACACTGGTGTCTAGCTTTTCTGTTAAAATAAGGCCTAGATCGCGTTCTGATGGCACACAACTCAAGTTCTGGCCACCAAGGGTGTAATTTGCACTCTGTGACCTGCCGGAATGAAGTTGCACTACTTTGCACTTCTTTAAGTTGAAAGGCATTCCGTTAGCCAGAGCCCAGTCCCCCAGCGTTTGCAGGTCAGCCTGCAATCTGTCGGAGTCTTCCGATGAGTTTATTGCTCTCCAAATCTTTACGTCGTCAGCGTAAAGAAGCGCAGAGCAATTCAGTTGACAGGGCAGGTCATTGATAAAAATCAAAAACATCAACGGCCCTAAGATAGAACCCTGAGGAACCCCTGATGCCGAGGTGTGCCAGGATGATCGGATGCGGTTGACTTTGGTGCAGAATTCTCTCTCGCCTAAATAATCTTCCAGCCATGCGAGAAGTGCTCCAGAAACACCCGCTTTGCTTATTTTGTGAAGGAGCAGACCATGGTGAACTGTGTCGAATGCTTTCGCAAAGTCGAGAAAGATCACATGGACTGGTACCTTTACATCCCAGGATAGTGTCCAATCGTTCCAAGCTAGTAGAAGATTCGTCACACAGGATCTTCCCTTCCTGAAACCATGCTGTGCTTCATGGAGTAGGTTAGTCCCGTCGAAGTATTTTCTCATGTGGTCGTCAATGAGACTTTCCAATATCTTCGATATCACTGGGAGTAGCGCAACTGGTCTGTAACTGGTCGCGTTCTGCCGGTCACCACCCTTGAAGATAGGGGATAGGATGGCTCGTTTCCATTCACATGGAAGTTTCCCTACATCAAAGGAGTGTTGAAACAGATCACTTAGGGGTTGGCAGAGACTTTCTGAACACTGCTTCAGGACGGATGGTCTTATGTCGTCGCAACCTGCAGACTTTCCCGAAGCCAACTTTCCCAATTTTATGAGTACCATAGCCGGGGTAATTTGAAATGTACCCAGCAGGTTTTCGCACGTTGGTCTTGCATTGTAATCTTGATGTTTTGTGAGGGTAAAATCCTCGTTACTGTTCAGTTGCCTGTGAAAGGCTAGACTGAATGTCTCTGCCATTTCAAGACTAGTAAGAGATTTCCCATCAGAACCCACTATATTGCAAGCTCCCTGGTTGGTCGGTTTTCTTTCAGACATAAACCTGTATAGGCTTTTGGGGTTCACGAGAAGCTTATTGGCGAGGTTTCTCTGAAATGTCCTTCTATCACTCCGGACTCGTATGTTACACCGATTCCTGAGTTCGAGGTACTCTTCATGTTCGGGTTGACTCTGCGATACTCGCCACGCAAACCAGGCTTTTCGCTTCGCCTGTAGAAGGCGTTGTGTCCCCCTTTTTAGCCATGAACGTTGCTTTCTAGCTTTAGGTGTGACCAAAGGAACAGTGTCTGAGATCGCCTGGTGAATGATCTCCTTTACCACTCTCCAGTGTTCTTCTACTGTAAGCTCTGTCCAATTTTTTGGCCAATTTGCTTCAGACAAAAGTCTTCGCATTTCGGTGTAATTGGCTTTGTTATAACACAGATAGGGCTGTGTATTGTCCCACTGTAAACGCTCGCGGAGGACTATGTCGAATGTTATGACCGCATGGTCACTACTACCTATGGGAGTCGTGATCTGAACGTTTTCCACTAGTAGCTGGTCACTAGTGAGCACGTAATCCAGTCTAGAAGACTTCCCATCTGGGCCCCATCTAGTATCCATTCTGACATTTTCGGTGAATCCGGCCTCCGTGATGGTATGCAGCAGATTTCGATCAAATCTGTCCTGGGCACATCCCGTCATCAAGTTAAGAGATGGGGCATTGAAGTCTCCAGCTATGACAATTTGATCATAACCCATGTCATGTGTCGCTGAAATTGCATTCAGCAGTACCTGGTTGTGGTCTGCTCCACATGAAGGTGATCTGTAAATGCTGCCCACTAGATACTTACAGTACCCAACGGTGAAATGGCACCATATGGAGTCAGGGAGCTCAATGAGGGGAGGGTCGATTGCATGGACACATCTGAGCTGTTTGTCGACGTATATGGCGACTCCACCTCCTTCTTTCAGATCCCTATCTCGCCTGACAAGGACCATATCATTTATACTGACTTCGCTGTCTGCCACCGTAGGGGTTAGCCAGGTTTCCGTCAGTATTATGATTTTGGAGTTCAGCTGTGATTGTAGGTATCTAAGTTCAGCTATTTTGCCTCTTAGACCTCTCACATTACTGTACAGGCAACTGGTAGTCAGTCTCACCACGTCCCCGTATTGGGGGGTGGTTGACGTGATGTGGGCTGTCGGTTGAGGAGTTATCCTACGAACTAGTTGGCCGATTCCCCGGGAACCGGCCTGTTGGAGTTTTTTTCTTCTGATTCAATCGGAGCACTTGGATGGCACTGGCTATCATCGTCCGTGCTGCACCGCTGTATTGTGACTAGGGGTTGGGGATGTTCTATGACAACGTTTTGCTCTCTCCTTTGGGTACGAGGCCGGCTCTCGCAGCAGCGAATGTGTCTGCTGACCTTGTCTTTGGTCTCGTACCATCTCTGGAGAGCAGTAGTCAAGTGGTCTCGGGAGCTAAACTTAACAGCTAACAGACGTGGGGTGTTAATTGACATTAGGTGAGTGGGTCGAGGCAGTCTAAAAATAGAGACAGCCCCTGAACTTCCCAGACCCATCTGGGATGCCAACCATCTCCATTGCTGGACATCGTGACAGTGCTTCTCACAAGCGTTCCCAGTTTCCAGTTCAGGAATGCCGTGAACAACCATGGAGGCAGAAGGAATAAGCTCTGGCGACTCCCTCGCCATCTGTCTTTCCTTCCATGGCCTATCTGGCCTAACACGTATATTGCAGGTCCTCCCTATAGAAAGGACTTGGGAAGTCAATAAAACTTTTTCGGCATCTTCGGCAGAGCCTAGTGTTACCCTCAGTGGGGATGGTTTGCCTTGAGGAGCAGCAGTGCCCTTATACAATCTGCACAGTTTTACTGGTTGGATGTCCAGACCCAGTGTGCTACATAAGTTGGACCACTGTTCCTGATCAAACAGGGCCCTGTTTTCCAGCAGACTACTGCTACAGTCTGGTACATTAAAGAGGATAACGCAGTTTGATCGACTGACCGTGGATTTAGGTTCGGTCCTCGCACATTTGTCATCCCCCTTAAGACCGTTTTGTTTCATCTGGTGCAACTGGGTATTATTATGTGTCGCAGTGCTGTGGCCACTTTTACTGGTGGACGGTAAGGGTCTTTTCCCGGCGACAGGTACCCTTGGTGCTTCAACCTCTGTGTCTGGGGCAGTTATGGCAGGAATTGCAAGTATAACCGGTGTGGATTTTGGTATCCCCGATTTACATGCAATTGTGCTGTTTTCTGAGTTGGTGGGAGTGAAACGTTTCACGTTTTTTCCTGATATCTCTATGACATCTGTAGCTTTCGAGGAACTACACGAGGCTGCATTAGGACGGCAACTTGGGCAAATGTACCAGAACCATGGGCATGGGTTCTTACGCATAAAATCGTAATATACCTTTGGTACTCCGGTGTCACATCTACAATGTACCCATTGCTTACAAAAGTTACATTCGAAAGCAGAATCTGCTTGTTCGACAATAGAATTGCAGACCTTGCAATCGTCTGCCTTCTTGGGGAACGTTTTCGTCGTCTTGCGACGTCGTGAACGTTTCTTATTGGCCTTCCTGTTTGTTTCAAGGCCTACTGTGGATATAGGTGTCATACTATTCACCTGTTTGCTTAGTTTGGCTGAAGCTCTGGTGACTACGGTGCATGGTCTCCCATTACTTATCTTGGGATGAGAATCTATAGTCATTTTACTCCTAAAATAATACCGATGATTAAATGATAAGAGAGAGTGGAGTTTTG